TTGTTATTCTCATAGAGGAATTGGTTCAAATTACCTTATTCACCATCACTAGAAATAGAAGTTTTAGATTGGTGTTCTCATTAGACTCTGTTGTTTTATTTTAAATTGAGGACCACTACAGTTTTGTTTTGTTTTTATTAAAGAAGTTGATGACAATCACTTTGCTAATTATAACAATTATTATTTATAGTAGTTACTCCCTTTTGAGTGTTTCCTGTGTTCTTAGTATTAATATCCATAGGTTTCTGTTGTATTTTCTTATCTTCCCCAGTCATTCTGCCACTGTGTGACTATATGATTAATTTATTCTTTCAACTGTAGTTTTCAGGAATCGACCTGGATCAGGCATTATTCCAGCCCTTTCCATCAGAAATTGTATTTCAGAACTACACTCCTTGTGAAGTCTATGAAGTTCCACTGGTTTTGAGGAACAATGACAACGTGAGTATGTTTGCTGGTTTGACTTTACTTTACATGGATATATAAGAAGGGATTAAATAAAATGGGATCATGTAGGATCTTAGATAAGTTCTTTAATTTGATCAACCTAGGAAAATAGATGAAAGCATGCCCTTTGACTGTAAACTTAATGAAGAAAAGACTATGTTTGCTATATGTTCAGTCCCAGTGCAGGGTCCAACAAACAGTAAACTCCCAACATGTGAACTAACGTTTTGTTGAATAAAGGATTGGCTAGATGAATGTCATGAAGTTCTTATGTTTAACCAGTTGAGCTAGGCTTTCATTTAAGACAGGGCAATTACTATTCATGTTTACATACTTTGCATTAGAGCCTCCAATCCTTAATTGAAGATATAAACTCTACTCAAATGAACTGCAGTTGTTCAGCCAATGCATTTATATTCTACAAATTGTATCAAAAAAACCCCAAAACTTCAAAAAAAATGGAGATCCCTTTCCTCCCCTTTTTATCTCCTTTTTTCTACCTCAGCCTTCAGGTTTTTCTACAGATAGTTTTGGATGGTTTCTCCCACTGTTTATACCTCGTCTCTGTAGTTGCAACGGAGGATGTCTTCTCCATCGTCCTGCCTTTTTCTTCAGAGATAAATTAAGATTTATTTCAAGAAAAGGTATTAAATGCCTGAAGATTTCCTTGACATCTAACACTAATGAAAGAAAGAATAAGGCTAGAGTTTGGCATGAAGCACAGTTAAGCGTGAAAAGTAATCACAGGGAGGAAAGCTTCCGAGAGTAGCTCAACTTCAGGTGTCAAGACAAGTAGGAATACTTACAGGAGTCTGAGGATGTGGAGATAGATTCTCACTATAAGAACAAAGGAAAAATAATGAAAGATTATGCAAAAATCCAAGGCAAATGGGAAGACGTGCTGTTACACCCAGTACAGTAGCTCATTAAAGGAATCAGTGATGCCTTTCGGAGATCAGTGGGGTGATTTGTGACAGCAAAGGCAGACTCTGGAGAAAAGGGTATATTTAGTTTTTGGTGGTTTTTTTTTTTTGCTGCAGGAGTGTTAGCAAGAGAAGCTCATGTGATAGAAACTGAAGGGTAGGCAGAGAGAAGGAAAAGAACCCAGGTGTTCAGGGTTATGCTCTTAGACCTCAAGAAGAGATGTGTCACAAAGACATTAGGACTCTCTGTCTTCATGTAGGGCTGCCAGCCAGTTCACTTTCTTTCTTCCAGTTCTTTTTCCCTTTCTACATTACTTTGTGACTCTTGCTTAAGTTTTTTGTTTATTTGTTTGTTTTTAAGGCTTTTGAAAACAGAGAGGAGCTAGTCCAAAGGGTACTTTGGCCACTCTTCCCTGAGTGTATAGGGGCAAGTCAAGAAGGGGCATGTGTAAGTTTCACCTGTGAAAGGGCACTCAGTTCTCATGGATAACCCAGCACCTCTTGGTAAGCTGCTGCTGGAATGTCAGACCCCATGAAAGGATGGTTCTCATTTCGGGAAATCTAGCTAGCAACAAGACAGATTTCTCTTTGTTCTTGCTTCACAGTAGTGTTTACTTAGGACAATCCCGTAGAGAAGGAAGGTGGAATTAGGCCAGGACTTGACTCCAAACACCATTACTTGGGGAAGCCATAGCATTTAGGGCAAGTGTCTGTTTTTTCATCTGTAGAATGCGAGTCATAATGAAACTCAAAGTTGATTGCAGGGATTAAGTGGCACATCATGGACAGGGATGGTCCCTAGTAGGAGTGCAGTAAGTGTGATTTGATTTCTTCTCCCAGGGCAGTTCTCAAATGTTGGGGACTTCAGCTTAACTCCACTGTGTGGGTGGGGTTTTAGCAGTTAGTCTTTGAAGATAGTCACATTTAAATAATGAAAAGAACAAAGACTTGTAATAACAATAAAAATGAGTGATAATAATGTTAATGAAAATTAAAGCTGAACTGCATTGAGTGCTTCCTTTGTGTAAGGCACTGGGATAAAGGTAAGTACTGTCATCTCCTTTACGAGTTGATGAAACTGAAGTTCAGACCCGACTAAGGCTGTGTGACTGGTAAGTAGTAGATGGAGATTTCAAGTTTAACTACAAAGCCCGTGTTTTTTCTTCTGCATTTTCACATGCACAGTGTCATCACTGTGTGTTTTTCTTGCAGATTCCAAGGTTGGTGAAAGTTGTTGCGGAAAGCTCACCTTACTTTAAAGTAATCAGCCCCAAAGATATTGGCCACAAAGTAGCTCCAGGAGTGCCATCCATATTCCGAATCCTCTTTACTCCAGAGGAGAACAAGGTAACAGCAGTGCTAGCAAGAAATTGGTGGCATGCTTGTCACTAGCAGTTTACAATTCTGGACGTTTATGGAGATGGCGGTGTACAATGGTAGTATTGTTGGTGTTGGGGTTGGTTGTATTATAGTTAGTAGTGATGTTAGTGGTGGTGGTGGTGGTGGTGGTAGTTGCGTCATTGATGGTTTTGGTGGTGGTGGTGGTGGTGGTAGTGGTGTTGTTGATGGTATTGGTGGTGGCGGTGTTGATGGTACTGGTGGTGGTGGTGGTGAGAAGAGTGATAAGGGTGGGTGACAGGAGGGCTGGCATACCACTGGGAAGGAGGAAAGACTTGTCAGGGTGCTGAAGGCTTATGTGCACTCTAAGTAGCCAGGATGTAAAGCAGGGTAATCCTGGATGTTCCCCGCCCTGCCTCCTGTGGCTCCTACCTCAGCATATTCATGTTTGACTGTATAGCTAGAAGGACACCAAAAAGGAAAAGGTGTGGTCCAGATGCAATGAGCTGAGGCAAAGGATAAAGACGATGCCCTCTTGGAAGTTTGGGATCCTAGTTAGTTACACCCCTATTCCCCAGATTCTGACTAGTTTAAGAAAGATATCCAAGACCCAAATATTGATCACATTATCAGGCTCATTAATGGCAAAGAACATGGCCAGGACATGAGGCCTAGACAGGGCTTCCTCCTGCTCCCCAGTGACTAGTAGCTAACTGGTTCTTGGCAAAGGGCTGACCTAACTGATAGCTCCACCCAAGCACGAGTGAAGATGCTAGGGCTGAGAGCGGAGACCTGCCTGCTCTGCTTACCTTGACTGTGCACAGGCAGGCTAGGAAGAGCCTGAGTTCAAAAAGAGGCCATTTGCCCTTAGTACACTACAGCTGTGGGCAATCTAGCCCATTGTCAATCCCTCCTCAGTTGTAGAGATTCCAGTCCTTCACGGGAAGAAGGACCAGCTAAGGGGCACTGAGGCTGCCTCCCCAGCCCTTCTCCAAGAGCACAGAATTGTGGGTTTTCCTCTATATGAGCCAGTGACTGGGACTTGTGAGGAGGAGGAAAGGGGTTTTACCAGCATGATTGATGGAGTGAGGACAGAAGATAAGGCTTAAAAAGGCATAACAAAATGTCAGGTTATACATAATACTGCTGGTGTATGTGCTGTCCTGTATTGTGCCACGATGGTTGGAATCAAAACAGTGTAATGGACACAGAGAGATTTAGCTTTGAATCCCTGCTTTTTTGTCACCAATACTTATTAGCAGCTGTTAATGTCATTACCAGTATTCTTGGTACTATTGCTAATGTTCCTACTTTTTGGAGAGCAGGAATAAGGAATTTGGTGTGATCTGCCAAGCATGTAGTACTGTAATGAGTGGTTAGAAATTCCATTATAATAATAACACTGCTGTTATTATTTTTGCCACTTTGCAATATTACTTTTTATTTATTGGGTTGTGTTTATGGACCTTTCATTTTGTTGGGGTTGTGTTGAAATAAATAAAAAGATAAATAGCTCCAGAAGTAGTGCTTTTTGTTATCCGTTATTGAAGTCCTTGTTTTCTTGAGGCTCAGTATCTGAATACTAAGTGTGAAGATAATGGTACCTGGATTTAGTTTGGGTGTCAAATTCCTACACTGACATTTCTGTAGGACGCTGATTATAAAC